AAGCCCCAAAGAAACATATTAAAAGGTATGATAAAAATAAAACTTATTCAAAGGTATTAAACTTGTAGGCACAATATAAGTATTCTTATAAAAAACAAACAAATGTAAGCAAACAATAAATGTCAAACTAAAAACAGAACACAAAACCTAGACTATGTGTAAAATTAGGCCTTGTTCACACCAAATGCAGAGCAGATGCGCTCAGGTTTCTGCACATGCACGATGCGTTTTTTATGCGGTTTTTTTTTCAGGAAGCTTCCAATGTTATGAGTTCATTTCCTTTTACATCTGACCTTTCATTAGCTGTTCTGATTATTTCCTGCTTCCTCTGACCTTGTCTCACATGCAAAATTGTTGCAACATGGATCCATTGGATGCAGGCATGCTCCTGGTGATGGTTATTATACTGTTACGCCAAAGTGCTGTAAGGAGACGTGCACCCACTGATGAGAGAAAGAGATCCAAAGGGCCAGTTTGGGATTCTATATGCAGACCTTCGTGCACACCCAGACAAGTTTTTTTCATACACCCGTATGTCGATATCTAGGTAGGAATGTTTGCTTGTTATGTGTCCCTTGTGATGGAATCTCTCTCACACTCTCTCTCTATTTCTCTAGCAATCTCTCTCTATTTCTCTAGCAATCTGTCTCTCTCTATCACTCTCTCTCTTTAACTCTCTCTCTATTTCTCTAGCAATCTCTCTCTCTCTAGCAATCTCTCTCTCTCTCTCTAGCAATCTCTCTCTCTCTATAATTTCCCTCTCTCTTTAACTCTCTCTCTATTTCTCTAGCAATCTCTCTCTCTCTATAATTTTCCCTCTCTCTTTAACTCTCTCTCTATTTCTCTAGCAATCTCTCTCTATCACTCTCTCTTTCTCTATAACTCTCTCTTTCTCTATAACTCTCTCTCTATTTCTCTAGCAATCTCTCTCTCTATCATTATCTATCACTCATTCTCTATCGCTTATTCTCTCTCATTCTCTATCACTCATTCAAAATCCTTTTTTTTTGTGTTATGGAACATGTTGCAAATTACTTTGTTGTTTTTGTGGTAGCATTGATTCTCTCCCTGAGATCTTAACACCTGACCTCCAGCTTCGAGACACCAATTTTCGCAAGTCAATCTCTCCGACAGAACGCCTCATTGTCACATTAGGTAGGTAACCATTCCCTGATAACACACCACATGCATAATGTCCTGACTTTCCTGGATTAGCAGATTGCATCTGGATTTGTAGGGCCTAATGCTCCCTTATCCATACTCTGCGTTACACACCTGTAGTATATTGTAGTGCTCAGCGATATCAAATAAGAAGCGAACCAGGAATAGTGTTCATAGGTAGTGGCGACAAATGTAAAGTGACCAAGCACATGTACAGGCAGTCCCCGGGCTACATACAAGATAGGGACCTGCTGTCAATCAGCAGAGGAGGGGCCTGAAGGAGAAAATTCTCTATCAGGTCCCCCCATGCTGATTGACAGCAGGCAGTGGGCAGGTGCAATAGCCAGCTTGATATTGGCTATTGAATTTGACAATATCCAATAGCAGGCTGGGTATGGCTCCCAGCCTGCAATGAAGAGGAGGCAGGGAGGCGGTGTAGAGGAGCTGTGCCCGGACCAGGAGAGCGACGGATCGGCGGGACATCAGTGGAGGTACGGGGGGCAGCTAGGAATGCAGTGGTCTGGGTCCCCGCTGCCTCCGCCAACTTAGGCGCGGAGAGCAGCAGGGATTTGAAGGGACACAGGCCGCTGCAGCCAAAGTTCTGTGGACCCCGGTTCCTGAGTACGGATTGTCCGTTAGTCGGACGTCCGTAGCCCGGGATCTGCCTGTAATTGTGCCAATTCTAGTTCATTATGTTTTTGTACCATTATAGAGACCCCAAAATGCCAACAGATGTTAAAGAGATGATAATCAACCAAGAGGACAATTTCACCAAATCACAGTCAAGTAGCATATAAAACATTTTATTACAGAGCAACAGCTCAATTTTTTGTAATAAACAAATTATTTAAGTCACATATTATTCGAATGTGCAAATGGTACAAAACTTGGTAAAAAGATTCTCTAACTGTAATGATCATCGGTCTTGTCCATGATTGGATGCCATTGGTACTTGACCTTAGTAACTGGGGGGCATATGGCCTGGGTAGCTGGGGGGATGTCACCTTGGCTACCGGAGTGTTGAGGTTGCATCGGTGGGTATGTATGATACCTTTGACGAGGCGGGGGGGCCATTGCTCCTGCTTCCTGGTACCTTTTATACACATCCATCAAGGTGGTATAGGATGGGGGTGGGACCTCACTTTGGTGGGCCTTAATTACAAGATTAAGGTCCGCCATACACAACGGAACATTTGCCTGTGGCACATCTTGCAGGGGAGTCAGGAGGGACATGCAGAGTGTGCGGGCATTGGAATCAGTGTCCGCACTCCTCTGCACGAAAACCTTGACTGCCTCCATCAATTGTACATTCTGTGCACGTAGGCTATTAGGGGCAGCAGAATAGCTTCTTCCCCTAGGCACTGCTGTTGCCCTTCGTGCACCTTGCGATGGAAGCGGCATAGGGCTCTGGGAGGAGGAACCTCCATCGCATGGACTAAGCCACTCGGCCATCTCTGTTATCTCCGGCATGTCGGCACTTGTTGTTGTTTCAACTTCAGCATCAAAATCATCCTCCTGCTCCTCAACTGGTTGCACCATGGGTTCCTCAAGGCTACACTCTGTTCTGAAATGCAATAAGAAGGTAAATCTTAACATTCACAGAAAAATATAAGCAGTTTACATCAATATAAGAAATCAAACTTACAACAGACGGAGCTCCAAGACGGGTCTCAGAAATTCAAGAAGATGAAAATGTGTGTGTAAGGCTCTCCTTCTGGCCCCAGAACCACGTCTTGCCTCCTTTTTTTGTATTTTTAGCTCCTCAGTCCTTCATGCTGCGCCATTTAGTTTTGCACGCCACAACTGAAAATATAAATCATTAACATTTTTTATCTTTCGATTCCAACAGGTTCTTGACAACATTCGTTCAGTGCCTTACATTTTGAATTTAGACTTGGAAAATCTACTATTTCGCACATTGTTGGAACAACATGCAAAGCAATTTGGCATAAGCTGCACAGTGTGGTGATGCCAGCTCCCACTGAACAAACTTGGAAAAAAAATGCTGGATTATTTTGGGAAAGATGACATTTTCCAAACTGTTTAGGCGCTATCGATGGGAAGCACATCTGTATCACAATGCCACCATTTTCAGGAAACAAATATTTTAATTATCAAAAAAATGTCTCATTAGTCCTGCTGGCAGTGGCGGATGCAAACTATCGCTTCAAATTATGTGGACGTAGGGTCATATGGTAGCAGCAGCGATTCTGCAATTTTGAATAATTCAACATTGGTTTGTCTCCTACAGACCAATGGACTCAATCTGCCCATGGACTGGAACTACAGACCCAGTGTACCCTTATGTGTTTGTAGGTGATGCAGCATTTGGGATAGGCAGACATTTACTACGTCCCTACTCGCAATGCAGACTCGGTCTAGAAAAGCGCATATTCAACTATAGGCTGTCACGAGCATGCAGAATGGTAGAGTGCATGTTTGGAATACTGGCTAACAAATGGTATGTACTGCATACAGCTATGCAACTGAGCCCTGAAAATGCAACCACTGAGGTAGCCACCATTAAGGTAACTTGTGTTTTACACAATTATGTCAGAGAAAAAGAGGGCATAAATTTAGAGGACAACTTAGAACATTCTCTAGAGCAGGCTGAATGGAGATTTGGTAGTGGTACCATTGAGGCACATCAAATGAGAGATGACACAACACAATATTTCATGTCTCCTGCTGGTGAGGTTTCATGGCAGGCAAGGGCAGCACAGAATTACTGAGTGACATGGTTACAAAAACAGGATTGTGCTGAGTTTATTTCTGGTCAATTGTCCTTTATTTATCCTTTGTGTTCCTAATTATTTGACTTGTTAGCTAATAAACCAATATGTTGTAGTGTTATTTTTGAACATGCATGCAGTGGCGGAACTACCGCCGGGGGGGCCCAGTGGGGTCCGGTCCTGGGCACCCCCACAGCCTCAGTGGGGTCCGGTCCTGCAATATGGGGCAGTGCAGGGTCCCGGTGTTAAAACACCGGGGGCCCCGCACTGCCGATGGGCTTCCCAGTGAGGGGGCGGGTCCTATGACTCACCTCCCGGCCGCGTCCATAGTAACAGGCCGCGGGAGGGGAGGTAAGTCACAGGAGACGTGTGTGTGTCGCACGCCCCGCCCCCTGCAGTGCACACATCGACACATGGCTGCTGCTATCCTGGCAGGGTGAGTCCGAGCGGGGGAAGGGGGGGCTCTTACTCCATATAATTAGACATGCGGATAATAATGGGGAATATTACACTGTAATGTTCCCTATTATAATCTATAGGGGGGGCGTGGGCCAGTGTGATCCGCTCCCGCGCCCACCCCACCCCCGTCTTGGGAGGGGGGCCCAAGATAAAATCTTGCACCAGGGCCCTTTGGTTATTAGGTCTGCCACTGCATGCATGCTATTAACCGTGTTGAATAAAGAAAAGAATATTCTTGAGCAAAGTATGCTCTTTGTATTGTGTGTCTTTAATTGTCTTTTACCTTGCACATCACACAAATTGAAGAGATTGAACAGTTGTTCATCCAGTGGCATCACAAGGGTGGTGCGGGGGGTGCGGCCCGCACCCGGATGACACCATTGGAGGGGTGACACCAAAATGACTCACAACTGTGTTCATCCAAAGTATTTTGGCAGCTTTAACACACCACCCCCCCATGGGAATACATATGGAATATATAATATCACAGACAGCCGCACAAGCTGCATGAAAAGCAGCTGCAGGTGTCAGTGAGCAAACAGGGAGGGGCAGTGTGATAAGGAGGAGTGGTGGGGGGAAGGGGGGTGGATGGAATACTGCATTTGAGGAACTACTAGTATATAATGCCATTCACATTGAAGTACTCACCACAGCTCTCCTTATCAGTAGAGGACATATCATCATATCCTGGGAAAACTCTCCCTGCTATCAAACTCCACTGGTCAACCTTCTTCCTATTGTTCTTATATTGAAAGTGTCTGCTGTCATACAGCTCAGGGCACTCTCCAACCATACTTATGAATCTCTCTGGGTCACAAAACTTGTCCACCATTGTTCCTTTGCTCTCCAGCTCACAAGGTCACCTTTTCCAAAGACAGGAAGTGACCAAGGAAGATTAGGTCATGACAGATAACCATAGAGGTTTCTTTTCTTTATGGTTATTTTTTTTTTCATTGAATTGCATTGCGTTTTTGATGCATTCCAGAGCAGGTCCAGAGCAGGTAAAATAGGGCTTGCTGCAGTTTTTTCACCTGCTCTGGAACTGCACGCTGCAATGTGAACTGGAGCTAAAAATACCATAGGAATACATTGGACGCAGTTTTGATCCGGTCTGCACCTGCTCTGCTCCGCGCTTGGTGTGAACTAGCCCTGAATGAATTACTATTTGCCCGAATATATGAAAAATGTATTCGGGCACATAATAATTTGTTTGAGAATGTGCGGCGGCCATGTTGGCCATCGGCGTGTTCTGCGAATGCGTGCCACTATCTTGGAGGCGAGGAGCATGATGTCACATGATGTCAGGCGCCGCCATCTTGGTGTATACCTAGATATACATCAAGATGGCGGCGCCCAACACGTGCGGTGTTATATGACGCCATGCACCCTGCCCCCAGAACACGCCAATGGCTGAATCCAAAATAGCATAAAAATATGTTTTGTTTGATGAAACGAATGAAAATGTTTTAAGTTTTCATTCATTTCATCTGAAATGAATTTTTAGTCTTTGCACATGTCTAATAATACATGTGTGTGCGGCTGGTGTAATTTTCACTTTTTTTTTTATATAATTTTTTATTATTTTAACTGTTGGGGTGCTTCAGGGAAATATTGGGGGTCTAAACAGACCCCTGACATTTCCCTTTTTAAAATAGAAAAGAAATTGAGGACACAAAGTCCTCAATTTCTTTTTCTGCAGCCTCAGCACTCAATGAATGGGAAGCACTCAGTACAGAGGCTTCCCATTTATTCACAAAGTGATGATAGTTAAATATTTACTATCAAGCAGTTTATGAATGGGGAGGAGCCTCTGTAGTGAGTGCTACTCCCCATTCAGAAATTCATGAATGAACAGGAATTTATGTAAATCACATCCTGTTCATTCATAACTGGGGACACATAGTACTATGTGTCCCCAGTTATTTACAAACACCGGAGTGATCAGATGATCACTCCAGTGTTTGTTCCGCACACACAGAGGATCAGTAAATGTCACAGATCCTCCTCTCGGCCACGCACACAGCCGCTGTCATCCTGAAACTGACAGGATGACAGCGGCTGCTCTCTCTTCCCCCGCTCGGCCGTCCTGAAAGCCTCAGCTTCTCTCCCTTCTCCTCACCGCTGGCCATCCGACATGACAGCGCCCTCCCCACACAGGCTTCAGCAGACAGTTTCTCCTCGGAACCGAGATCAGCGCTTAAGCGGGCGGGCTGAGGAGGGAGTGCTGTCATGTCGGATGGCCAGTGGTGAGAAGTCGCTCCTAGGACGAGCTGTGTCGGCCGCCTGGCACCCTTGTTGCGCCCACAGCTTGAACACCCCAAAGGCCGGCCCTGCAGCTGTGCATGGCAACCAATCAGCTTGTTTCTTTTTCAAATTTTTAATGAACAAACTGAAAATAGAAGCTGATTGGTTGCCCTGGGCAACTGCTCCAGATTCTATATGGTCCAGTTTTGATAAGTTCCCCCCAATGTGCGGAGTGTGGGGGAAAGTCTCTGGAGAAGACAGCAGCTAGAGACACGGTAAGGCTGCGCTCGCCGGTGGATCCAGGGATCAGGATTCTTTATTTTATGTTCCCAGGGACATAATTTGTTGGGGGACGGTCTCCTCAATCCGGGGACTGTCCCCGAAATCAGGGAAGAATGGTCGCCCTACCCTAAAGGGCTTTCACATGAAATGAGTTGAATGCATGATGGCAACATTGAATGCTGTGAGGAACATGCAATCGACATTCTAACCGGGAGAATAGAAAAGCAATAAGATGCAGAAGAGCCCGAGGAACATGTACGTCCATCCCGCCCGTCAGCCTCTTATCTAGAAACATGAATGGTGTATAATTGTCACACTACATCTCGCCCTCAGTGACACCAGCCATGCTGTCACAAACAGGAAGGAGTAGGACGAAGGAGAGAGAGAGAGAGAGCACAGAAGAGGGAGGGGCATCTGCAGACGTAGGGAAGGCAGGAGGCGGAGACTGTTGTGTCACTGCTCGCAAAGCACGATGGGAGCTGTACAGCTACGGCAGTTCGTTTCTACAAGATTGGATGCGGCTCACGACGTGGGATGACATTGGCCATTGTTGGCGTGTTTAGAGCCGGTGATGTGTCAAACGTACGGCACACAGCTCTCTATACACAGAGAGGACTCCTGAGCAGGTAGTATGCGGCTTTTATACAACCAATACATGACATCTGTGAAGGTGCACTTATCCTTTAAGTGTGTGTATCCGTCCCTATAGGGTTATGTTACCCTCCGGTGACATGAATATGTCTCATTGTAACTGGAGCAGAGCTCCTTGGAATCAGCATAAACAAGTCATCGTTTCCTCAGCAGTAAACAATGAGGCTCAGTATTCCCAGGCTGGGAGTGACTGGCATCTCTGGTCTAGCAGCTGTCAGGGTGTTAGAAAAGGGGACTATTCACCGGACAGCCTGTGTGCTCTATAGATAGGCAAACATTCATGTGCACCGGGCACTGGAGCTTCAGAAAGACATGGAGGGGGCAATCTACTAAACTTGGAGCAGTGCACACTAACCAAGCAGCTTCTATCTTAAGTTCTAGTTCACAGTAGAACTATGTGCCGTCTGTGCCGATGCAATGCGTTTTGACACAATTGATTTGTATTTTTTTGCTTATAATGGGATCTTAGATGTGTTCCAGTGCGTTTTTCATGCGTTCCGCTGCAGCTAAAATAGGGCAAGCAGTATTTTGTTAGTGACTGCATGGAAATGGACTAGTGTGAATAGAGCCCCAGAAATCCCATAGGAAAGCATTGTGATGTATTTTGGCTGCAGCAGCTGAACTGAACAGACTGCATCTGGTGTTAACTAGCCCTAAGTGTGTTCAGTTATGCTTTGAGGGCCCATTCACACCACATCCAGATCCTGACCAGACTGTTTCCAGACCCAAAAGGCATCCTAATGTATCCCTATGCTATTTCTATCCTCTGTTCACATCAGCGAGTCTGTACCAGACCAGAAAAATATTACATGTCTGAGGGACCATTCACACCACATCCAGATCATCTCCAGACTAGACCGTTTCCAGACCCAAAATACATCCTAATGTATCCCTATGCTATTTCTGGCCTCTGTCCACACCAGCGCAGTCCAGACCAGACCAGAAAAATACTGCATGTCTCATTTTGTCTGCTCTGGAATGTACTGGAACTGCGGGCAGGTTCACATCATTTTCTGGACCAGATCTGATCCACAAACATGGTGTGAAACTTCCCTGAGGGCCCAGTCACACCATCAAGAGTGTGTTCCAGTGCGTTCAGCCTCTGGCACGCAACCCGACTGGCTCACTTTGTTTGGGGGCGTGAGGAGGTGTGGCGGTGCATTGAACACAAGCCCCCCCACCCGCAGCGGGATGGCCAGCACCCCAATGCGTGGCACATTCGTGCCTGTGTTCTGATCCAGTGTGATCTGCAAAAAATAGTGCACTAATATGCCTGCATGCAACGCTGTACTGAAATGAATTTTAGACCATTTTTTGGGGAGAGATAGAGTTTTTTTTTTTCTTTTGGTGGTATTTAATCACCACTGGGGTTTTATTTTTTACGATATAATGAAGAAAGTATCGTAAATTACGGGGGGAAAAACTGTTTTCCCTATGTTATGTTAAAACATTTTGTATTCGTACTCCTATTTTTTGTAAAATATAAAAGACAGGGTCACGTTGGGTAAATAAGACACCAAACATGTCAAGCTTGAAAATTGTGTGTGCCTGTCTAATCGCAAAAAAATACCATATCCAAAATTGACCATAGGCGATGCTTTAACCTCCTGCCGTCCGCCCCTTAAGAAAAAACGGACGGACGGTGGACTCGCATCAGCGGGTTGCCGTCTCCAGACGGCATTTTTTCCTGCTCCCTAGCCCGCTCGCACGGGCAGGAAAGACCCACTCGTTTTTACAGCCGTTAACGGCTGTTTCACATACAACCGATCAGCGGCACTATAGCCGCCGATATTACGTACATATAAACGTAAATGTGCGTCAAATGTGTCAGCGCGCGAAAACGACATTTGCGCTACACATGTTACACATCGCCGCGAACGTGGGAATGAGAGCAATCATTTTAGGACCATCAATCACTGATAACACTAAACTGATGAGCTGTAAAAGCTTTTAAAGCATCGCCTATGGCCAATTTTGGGTAATGTAGTTTTTTTATGTTTCACGCGCATGCACAATTTTAAGGCTTAACATGTTTGGTGTCTTTTTACCTGACGTGACCCCGTCTTTTATATTTTACCAAAAAATTGGGTAATAAATGTTTTATCATTTAATATAGGGGAAACAGTTTTTTTAAAAACAAAATTCTGTAGATTTTCCTTAATATAATAAAAAAATAAACCCCCCGTGGTGACTAAATACCACCAAAAGAAAGCTCTATCTGTCCCCAAAAAAGGGTATAAAATTCATTTCAGTACAGCGTTGCATGGGGGAATAAATGTCAGTCAAAGTACTGCAGCGCTGAATACTGAAAAATGGCCTGGATGGGAAGGGGGTTTAACACACCGGACTTCAAGTGGTTAAAATCTTTTACTGATCATCAGTTTAGTGTTATCAGTGAATGATGGCCGTAAAATTATTGCTCTCTAACGTTCGCAGTGATATGTAACATGTGCGGTGTAATTGGCGCAATTGTCGTTTTCACACGTATGCGCACCCTTCGCATGATAGCATGTGTGTATGTGGGGCTGGGGACTTAAAAAAAACTTTTTATTTGTGACTTTAATTTTTTTTTACTTATCTTTTTTTTATCACTTAGGGGAACAAGAAGCACCCTATGTGATGGCAAAGAGGATGTGACAGGTCCTCTTTGTGGAGACATGAGGGGTCTTTGAGATCCCTCATGTCATCTAGGGACCACCAAAGAATCTGATGAAGCAGAGATCTGCTTTATCAGCTTCTCTCCAGCTTCTGTAGCTGGAGAGTGACAGCAGAATGCGGAAGTGATGTAACATACATCACTTCCGCATTCTGACACTGGAGAGGAGATCGGAGGGAGATTGTATGCTGACCTCCCTCCCTCTGATCCCTTGTCAGAGAGCCGCCATGCCTGTCCCAGCCCGCCCTAGGCACAGCAGATAAACCACTCCTCTAGTGTTGCAATTGGCAAAATGATGACTGGACCCAAATTTACTAGCGCCAAAGAGCACAAGCAGGTTTTTAGTACACAAATTAAGAGTCCACAGAGGATACAGCAGTGTAAAATTGGGCAGGTAGAAGGACAGCTTTAATCCGGAATAAGAAGAAACTGTGAATGCTCCACTTCAAGCACCCCAAAAGACTCTTTCAACATAAATTAAAAACACACAAAAGGAATGAACCCCAATATAGCAGTTTAACCTAAAATACCACCCCTTAAACAAAAGGCCTTTAAAAAAAAAAAAGAGGGAAGACTTGCAGCACAAAAAAAAAAGTTTGCTATGGACGGGACTGCAACTAAAAGTGACCACTGACATCAAATCAACCACAATATAAGACAAAAAAAATCTCCCAATAAGATAAGAAGAAATCAAACTGCAGCAAAGAGTTGATTGTCCAAAGAACTAGCAATCAGAATAAAAGTATAATTTCCTAACTGACCCTAATCTCTCTCTGTGCAGTTTTCACTTTACTTCTGTTTTCCCTACAACCAATTCCAATTCACTGACACTGTGGGATACTGTCCCTTCTAAGCCACCTGGCTATAATTCAAAAACCATGTAGTGCATTATGGTTTAAACAAAAAAAAAAAAAGGATCCTGGCCTAATCCCAAACCTATGGTAGCGGAGAACCTGAACCTCACATCTACTGATTACATCAAGCCACTGGCAACTCGTCAGTTTAAGGGCTCCTTCACACCAAATGCAGACCCGATCTGCATGAGTTTCTGCACACGCAGTACAGTGTGTTTTTACGCCTTCAGGGCTGTTTTTGCAACAAAACAAAAAACTTTTCTTTTTTTAGTTTAAAATGGTCTTCCAGTGCGTTTGCATGCGTTTTTGATGTGTTTCCATGCGTTCCAGAGCAGGTAAAATAGGTCTTGCTGCAGTTTTTTTATGCATGCTCTGGAACGGAACGCTTCGGTGTGAACTAGAGCCCAAAATACCATTGGAATACATTGGATGCAGTTTTGTTCCGGTCTGTAACTGCTCTGCTCCTAGAACGCGCTTGCTGTGAACTAGCCCTCAGTGGAACTACAAGTCCAAGGATTCCTTGACAGAGTATTATGAGATCAGCCAGGGAGCTTGCAGGCCATGCTTGATTTTGCATGTTCACAGCAGCTGGAGATACTGGCTGTGCTTTCTGTATATTTTCAGTTGCATCCTCTGTAACCACTCCAAAGTATCAGACATGTGAAAGTTATTAATGAATGTTCATTTGTTAATGTTTAATCATTGAATGGAATGAGTCATACCGAGCAGTATGGAAAAGAATAATAGGATGACCCAATTTGTTTCTGGGAAAGGTACTTCACTACTTCATGTCTCGGTATACTGTATGTCAGCTCAGCTGTCGTTGACGCTGTATGCCCAGGCTTTCACCTCTGTTCTTCTCTTTGCTGCCTTATTCTCCCTTTTCATTCTCATTCATACATTTAACCAATCAAATCAATATAGGTATTTTTTTTATCTTCACATATACGATTGTTTCTGACTCATTTCATGATTTAAATCTATGAATGCAAACCTGTATGTAGCCCATACTAGGCAGAGTTTCAGGTCTTCTTTACAGGAAGGATCATAAGCTGCATACTGTCCCTTTTGCTTTTCTGCCCCCTTATTAAAAAAAAAAAAAAAATGCCCGGGGTTGAGCGCTAATTTAGCTAGAGTTTTTTTTGGTATCGAGGATGAGTACCAATATTTTTTTTCCGCTACTTGCCGATACTGGAAATCCCATTGAGGAAGCCCTGGGCACTATCGCCACCCGGCTTCCCGATTCGCAGGGAAGCTGGAGCCGGCTTTCTGGCCAATTGGGAAGCCGGGGGGCGGGTAATAACTTGCTGCCTGGTTTCCTGATTGGCCAGCTTCTCGGCCAATCAAGAAGCCGGAGGGCGAGTCATTACCCACCCCTGGCTTCCCAATTGGCCAGGAAGCCAGCTCCAAACTCCCTGGTGAAGAGGGAACATGGAGCCGCCTTGCCGGGCAGTGTGTAATGACTCGCCACCCGGCTTCCTGATACCGGAAGTTCCGGCATCGGGAGCATTTGGGCGCGTGCGAGTATTCGTCCAAATATTTGGTATCGGTGCATCCCTAAATTTAGCTATGCGCACTCTGTGCTGTGGCAGCCATTTCCTTATTCTACAAACTGCTATAATTGCCTGTACTCTGATCAAAAGAGTGAAGCTAACGATATCCTGCTCAATAAATTTCCTTTCACTGCATTGATAACAGTGCGCTTGTAAGACTCCCAGCAAATTAAAAATATATTTTTTGTCATTGTGCATAGTTAGACCCTTATCATCTCACTTGAACCCCTCTCCTGCTGATGTGGACACTCAAATCCTTTCGCTCTGTTAGGACTCTGGTACTAGAGGCGCAACTGAGTGACATATCCCTCTATTCCCAGGCTTGATGCAAAGGTGGGGCAGGATGGCAGCACCTGATTAAAGTGGACCTTTACGCCCTTTCACTAAGATTCACAGCGGCATGCAGCTCTACATGCATTAAACAAACTTTTTTTTTCCTGTTTACTTACAAATAGATTATAATTAATTCATCCAATTCCTGGCCCAGTTCTGGCACAAATGATATATGTGCCAAAGTGTTGCATCCTGGGAAGGTTACATCAGCAGAGCATTGCTGGGGAAACGTCATCTGTAATCTCATGGGAAAGGCATTTTCCTCCCCTGAGATGATGTGCATGGTCACATGTCCTACTCACATGTGCCAGAGTTCCAGGAAGTAAAGGGAGAGCTAGGAACCTGCTCTTAGTTAACATGGCCACTGTCAGAAGACTGGGAAGGAAAAGAGAAATAAGGTATAAAAAGCCGGCAATTATCTAGAAGTATGTGTTTGTAGATTGTCATTAGTAAACATTTCTAAAGGTGTGTCTGTTTGTTATTTAAAAGGTATGGGTAAAGTTTCTCTTTTATGTAGTAGCACATTCATAGAGCATGCACAATCTTTAAAGAACAACTCTGGGCATGTAAAAGTGTAACCCTGGCAGTGGGACTACCCCTGCACTGCAAGGGTTACGTGCTCGTTTTGGTCTAGGGTTTAAAATAAAAGATATACTCACCCCATCCTTGGTCCCGCCTGCCTGCTAGACCGGTCCGCACAGCCTCTTCTCTAGGCTCAGGCGGTCTAAGGATCTGTGATGTCATCATATTGCCTTGCATTGGACGTGAGGATGCTGACGGACATTCCACAGCCTGACTGGCGGGGAAGAGAGGTGAGCGTTCACCGCTGTGGGACGGAGGAACAGGTGAGTGTATCTTCTTTATTTTAGCCCCTAGACCAAAATGAGCCCTTAACCAGTGTGTGGTAGCACCAAAGGCAAGGGTACATTTTTTCCAAAGCCGGAATTCTTTAAAGTGACATTAAAATCAATTTTTTCCCCTCCCCCCGATATTAATTGAAGCACTTACCTTAAATGATGTCTCTTAATCCGATCTTCCTCTTCTTTCCTGTTGTTTTCATCTGTCCCTCCAGCGCTGCTGCGGGTCTCCGATCCAGCGCTGTGCATAGAATTACCTTGTGTCTCTCCTCGCATCCCGGCCGAAAATGTGAACTGCGCATGCGCCCGCCCCAAGATGCTTTGCGGCCGCCCGAGGATCTTCACATTTTTGGACGGGAGCGTGTGGGGAAGACACGGGTGAGTATTGACCTCTGTTAAAGCGTGTTTTTTTTTTTTTTACACTTTTTGCATAGATCTACTGCTTGCTAGCTCTATGCAAAAAAAACAGAGGCTTTAATTATCCTTTTAGTACATTCAAGGATATGTAAACCCAGCCACTATAATTACAACATTTTAGTGAAAAGTAATTCTCAATATTTGTAAATGTGCAGCATTCATTAAAATAATACCTGGTGGTGATGAAAGTTCTCCTGTTTTTAATCATGTCTTTTTCTTTTTTTGTTACAGAGAATAAAAATGTGGCAGAGTGTCGGTTTGACATTTTTGGTCTTTGTGGCCACATTGATCTGTGTGCTGCTGTTTATGCTGTGTGGTAAGTATTTTGCAGATGGTTATAATCTATGGTGTATAATGTATGGTGTATAATGTATGTGGTGTTTTCCCTCTGACAGGTTATAGGGGTCTCTACTTCTTCTTTATAGAGCTATATATATGTAGCAACTTAAATAACTTGTAAAAAGGTGGGCAGGGGGAGTTTCAACATTAATGTCAGCCCAAACCCCCCCCCTCTCTCTTTCCCACCCCGGGCAGCTATACAGTAAGGGCTTGTACACACCGTAAGCGTGTGCTTTTCAGAGTGGTAGCTGCTGGAACGCACTGCGATCGCTGAGAAACTTCCACGCCCACCACGCAGTGCGATCGGACGCGTGGCAAAAGTTTGCCAGCGTTCCGTTCCACTGCAAACGCAAAAAATAGGTAGGGCAAGTTTTCGGTGTGAACAAGGCCTAAGGGGTAAAACCACCCAAAACTAATATTTGATGTGGAGAGCTATCTGCCATTTTCTTATTTCTTTGGAACAGTATTGGGGTGAACCTGCCCTGACCAGGGCAGGGGATCCCTTTTTCTTTTTCTTTTTAATCTACTTGTTTATTATGGACAATGTTTTTTGCCATATCCCTGAATACATAAAGGGGGGGTGAGAACTCCCACAACTAGTTCCAAAGAAGATATATCCTAAAGTCAGAAACCTTATAATATCCTAATATCCCCCATTCAGTGTTTTTGGTAATTGTATAACTATGGGCCAGCATAGATCTTTTCCTTTTTTTTAATGGGCAGTGATACAGCAGCTTGTGAACTTGGGCTAACCCCTGATGTGAGTCAAGGGTGGTAGGCCATGTTTGCAAGCATTGTGGTCTGGACAGTGACATACTTTTAGTGCTTGTTTTGTCAGTGGCTGGATTTAGCAGTTGTGGTGCAATTGTCGTTTGGAACAGTAAGTATGACTAAAAGGCCATTTGAGTTCAGTCTAGCTCTGTAAGATGTGGTGGTAGGCAGTGGATACAAGAATTTGTCAGACATTGATTTCCAAATAAGCTGTTCTTCCATTACAAGTAGGAAAAAATGCTAATAAGATTCAGTAGCTGTTCATTTTATAACCGATCCTAGGAGTAGTCATCTAAAGCTGATCTCCCGACTAAATAAACAGTTGAGATACATATATGGAAGTTATTTTGTCCATTTATTCTAGAGATTTACGCAACCCAACAGCAGAGCCCAGCCAGACTACAGACCCCCCTTGCTTATAAATGAGCCTGATCTCTCCTCCCATCAGCTTTTATTTTAAATACAGCTTGTATTTTGTTGGCATGTGTATCCAGCAGAGCCTGAGTGGTTCAGAGTGTCAGTCCTCCCTCTCCCAGTCTGAATTTTTGAAAGGAGACTCCCTCCGGCCAGCACAGTGACAGGGAGCACTCCAGTACCATACTTCACCAACTGCTGTCCCACCCGAAGGCACTGCGTAATGGTACTGTAATGTGTACTGGTAAATGGTACCGTACTTTACCGCGCTGTCCACTGTCTGATGTCCACACCGCTGGTACCGCTGTCCGGGCAAAAAGATATATATATAAGCCAGTGTCTTATTTTTGGGGAAACACAGTAGTAGTACAATCTCCCAAAATCCCTTAACCAGGGGGCAGGACCACCACATATGCAGGTAGGTACCCTCAGCGTTAAGGCACCTCCCAGCAGATCTGCGTCATCGAGGGGAACATGTGGTGTAATC